GCATGCTGGGACTGAGTAGAGGACAGCACTGACAGGAGCGACATTCTTCACAGCCGCACTGAGAGTGTCTGACTGGTTGGTGGTTTGGTTGGATGTGTGTGTAGGCAGGCGGAGGACAGCAGCGTGCTTTGTAATCTTGTTGCCGCCCCCGGCTGACGCAGTCACTTGTCCTCCAACTGCGGCCCAAATTACCCACCGCAATTGGCTCGTAATGGCATAAAGATTGAGGTCTGGATGAAGCATCAATCACAAGGACGTGGCTCAGCTGACCCTGAGTCCTTAACAAGAGGGAGGTGAGAGAAGGGGGAAGCAGAGATGGAAAGATACTATAAGCAGACTGTTTGAATTACAATGGACTGACAGTCATGCACTAATACAATGTCTGTGTGTCTGTGTGTGTGTGTGTGTGGACACATACGGTAACGAGGATCTAAAAAGTCAGATAGAGGGGATGTGGGGTTGATTCCGCTGATGTTGTACTTATGTCTCATATTTTTGCCAAACCCTCTCAGCTGAATGGCATCTGTGTGTAAATACATGGAAATGAAAAGTTAATAGAGAGGACATCTGAATATGTAAAACAATCACTCTTTTCTTCCCACTTTTGTTCTCTGAAAAGTTGTCAGTTTCTTAATTATTAAACAGGTGAAAATCTGATAAACTAACTGTCCTTACTTGGAGAAATGTTGGTGAATAATCAGCTTCTTTTGTCTTTATGTATTTCTGGAAAACAATTTCCAAGCTGTCACAACAGTGTTTTATGTTATTTCATGCATATATTTGCTAATTAGAAGAGTGTGTCCAGGCATGTGTTTTGCAGGGCTGCTATGTAGATTGCAAGGCTAGACAACATGGATCATGTGACTGTTTCTCTGTAGTTGCAGTTGTTGGTGCTTTGCCACTAATGCTGAAAGGCAGCGTGGTGCTTGTCTATCAGACAGCATTAGTTACACCAACGACAACACAAAGTTTATGCTAAGGGAAACTGAAACCTGTACGTTAAGACTAGAGAAAGATTGTGGCGAAGGTTAAATCGAGGGGGTCAGTGTGAAGTGAAAAGTGGTGGGCATCGTAATTTTTAACCAATGCACAACATTGGTTAATGTCGTCTTTACGCAGCCACCTGCCACTACAGCCGGGGCCCCGGGGCCCTGCACTAATGCCATGGCTGCTTTTAAGATTCATGTTAACATTTGGTTACTGCTGTTTGCTTTGGGATTCTAGCAGCATATTTAACTCTCTACCATCTAACCTCAGCTAATCTGTTAGAGATGGCACTATTCATGGGAAAGAGGATGGTGGAACTGGCATTGAAAATAAAATACTCAGACTATGGTAAGTTAGGATGACATTAAGCACTTATAAACTAGCATTGCATTATAAAACAGCTGTCAGCCTCGCTGTATATACTGACTGACAGTTAGTTAACGTAGCTTTAGCTTACCTGCTCCCTGAAAGCTGTAACATTATCCTGTAACTTCACATCATCCCAGACGGCGTCGTCTACGTTTTGCCGTTAATAAGGTTAATCCAGCCAGCGGTGGAGAAAAATCTCATATGTTGCCAATTTCAGTACTAACCCAACATGTTTAATGACATTTAAATGTGATAATGTAACAAACTGCCTATAACAGGATATAGTGAGGTAAATAACAGAGGAAGCCTGGCTGTGTGTGCAGTCTTTAAGTTGTGATCAATTTGGACTGTTTTCTGAGCGTTTCATTACTTTTAGACTAGTCGACTAGTCAGTCTTTTTTATTATTTAACTAATGTTTAGTCAACAGCAAAATGAGTGGCCAGGAACATCCCTACACATCATGACTCTTTTATCTTTGCATCCAAACATAATACATTGGAGATGGAGTTGATGTGTTTGCATGTGGGACATGTGCAAGGCTCTTTGTCTCCATTTTTTAAAACAGATGTTAAGGGTTTACCAAAACATGCTCATGCAACTTGAATCCATCAGTGGCAGAATGTCATTAATTTGATGAGGAAGGTGCCCTTCTTTCTTTCCCTCTTTGTATGTTTGCAGTTGTTTTGTGTGTTCAGGTATTGAGCTTCTTACATTGACGTTACACTAAAAACACAAACCCGCCTTTCATCCTCAGAACTGGTATAAAGACATCTCAGGATAAAAGGAAAAGTGCACCACTTCCTGTCACCTCTGACGTGCAGCTATTGAGCAGAGCTGAGATGCCAGCAGCCCACTTAATGCTAAATACTGCAGTGTTTTATCTTGAGAAGAAATACAGTGAGCTGAGAGCATGAAAAGGAGCACTTATCTCCTCCTGGTCACTAATGGTGGTGACAGTAGCGGCATTGACCTCATGTAATGTTGAGAGGCCTTTCAAGTTCCAAAGTACACTGTCCAAGAAGGGAGTCAGGCAAACAGGGTGAGAAAATAGCCTTTAATAATAAAGACGTTGACCTTTGTCAAAATACGGTATATTTCATTTGGTTGAGTTTCTCAAACTGTATCAACGATCCAGTGTGTAACATTGGGGAAGACCCGTTGGCAGTAATGCAATATAATATTTATAGGTGTGTTTTCATTAGCAGGTCGCCTTCCAGTAAGTCCGCCATGTTTGTACAGTAGCCCAGAACGGACACTGGCTTTAGATAGGGTGGTCTGTGTTTGGCATAGGGCTGCATGCTATGGTCAAAACATCACATTGCGATTATTTTGATAGATACTGCGATTAATGTGGGCTTTTTTTTTTTTTAGCAACACACATTTTTTATGATAATTTTTAGAAGGTCTGTACCAAACAAACATGTTTTCTTAAATCTGGAGAACAAGATCTGTAGACCAGGTTCTACAGTACGAACAACAGTACTTTGCTATGATTCTTTTTCCCCCACACATTTTACCTTCATCAAAACATTGCAGCTTTTGCAATTTGCATATTGCCTCTGCAATTTTCAATATGGCCATGTTGCAAGTTTGATAATATTTTGATTAAATGTGCAGCCCTAGTTTCGCAGCCACTGTAGTTTCTCCTTCAGGCTCGAAGGTGAGGGGGGTTGCAGTCTGCAACGCTAGATGCTACTAAATCCGACATGAACAGGCGTTTAGTTCAAAAATACGACCAATTCTTAGCTTAGTAAGCAGTATCAGACTGACATTGGTTACATGAGGATAAGGTATTTTAAGGTAACAGGAAGCTGTGCAAGTGACTACTGACTTGAAAGCATTGTTGACCCAGCTTTTTATTTACTACATCACTGACTGTGAAGGATTGTGAAATGCAGCCAGACTGCAGAGCGCTGCAGCTACTAGATCCTCTGCTGCTGTTCCCTGGAAAGAATGTATGTTGGTGTTTTCTCCTTGTCCCACATTTGCATTAAAATGTCTCATTCTTGAAAATGTTAACTTCACCTCAGCAATCCAGCCCCCACAGCTTCATGACAGAGGACATAATCCGAGTCCATTTTAAAGCACACAGCAGCTATTTGTTAGTGAAGCAATACAGACATAAAGACACTGGATTCATTTTAATGTGTATCTATAAACTGCATCTGTATGTGGCACCACATGTGTAAACAAAGTCCCACTGCAATGCACACTATACATATACGTTTGTATGTGTGTGCACAATAGCAGGGCCTTGGGAGGCACACCTGGATGCAGTGCAGCCATTATTAATATTGCTAGTCACACCTGTGTTTGTCAGCTCAAAACGTCCGCTGTACAAAACAAACCAAAAACACATCTATATGGAAGGAATAACCAACATGCCGGCAATTTGCCTTCTGGTAGTACGGTTTGTTCTGTGGAGGCTGCCACAAGAAAGGGGTAATTAAAATCAAAATGTTTTATCCCCTACTGAGGATAAATGTGCTCAGAATTTTTCATTATAGTCTGCCTTGTAGAAAAATGTGATGTTGGGTGGTGTCCAAAATGCAAAGGGTTCACCTTCTGGGGACCCTCAATGTATAAATGTATTACCCCCAATGTCCACGGCTGTGTCCACTGGGCATTAGGAATAGGCGACTGGAGAAATATATCCAGAGTCCATCGCTGGTTGTTTTTATTGGCTGACTTTTGTTTTTTTGTGGTGATATTTGTTATTTTATTTCGCTAATTGAACAGGCTTCCTCTGAAGAATGAGAGGTACTCAGGCGCGTGAAGTGGGTAGAGGAGCGGAGGTCAGGCATCAGAAAGGCAGTGACACACTAAACCATTTTTTAGTAGTGGGAAAATAGAAGAGCTAAAAAAGTGAGGAGGAGAAATGAAGACAGGGACAGGTTTTTATTAATATCCAGGAATTGCTGATACAAGACATAAAGGCATAAGACATCCGTTGAGCTGTAAGTGTGTGTATATTGTAAATATAGCTGCTAAAGAACAAACACTCTCCCTCAGAAACACTTCCATTTTAACATTGGAGATGTTTGGACCCTTGGTGCAACTGGAACACAGCCACATCCAGCGGACATTAGATTTAGTTAACCCCTGTGGACCCAATATATATACACGGCACGTTAGTAGGGATTCAGCCATTAGTGCTCTGCAGGTGAAACCTGTAAATTAGTTTGTTTTTCATAGACCAAATCCAAGAGAGCATTTCAGCCTGCTGGTTGTGTTAGGTCACTAACATCTTCAGAGGTTAGTCTTTGGGGAGCATAAATCCAAACCAGATTTCATGGAACTCTTTCCAGTAACTGGTTGGTTGTGGTCCAAACACAACTTCATGGACCAGTAGCACCATTCTTAGTCTGAGTATGGTGCACCAAGTACTGACAGTAATAATTAATAATCTATGTTGTGTAATTCTTATTTAAAATGTAAATGAAGTATTATTAACTCCTGTTGTTCTCTGTTTTTTCATTCTCTGTTTGCCATTCAGAATGCTGAGCCAGTCCTGATGTAACTATCAGCAGTGTTGGATGACACAGTCTTAAGTGTTGGCTGAGTCTGTCACCTGACCTCCTGAGAACACCGATCAATACAATGCCACAACACCAGAGGTAAGACAGTAACACAGTATATCAGATCCAATTACCATACGAAGAGGCATCAAAATGTTTTAATTGTAAATGTACAGATTTATGCTCATATGGACAAAAACAGTGTGGTGAGCTGCCCTTTGTTAATAGAAGTCTCAACAACAAATTGGTGCAAAATTACATGAAAACAAAACGCCTGAATGAAAACAATCAGGCTCAATATATAGACAATACATGTGCATAGACATACAGCTACTGTGTATGTGCAGTTGATCAAAAGTGACTCTACAATATCTAATGAAGGTTTAACACAACTAGTGAGGGGGAAAACTTTTTGACATCACACGAAACCTGCTATGATATTCATAAAATATAATATTTGAAAATAAAAAGATGGTGAGGGACAAGCAAAAAAGGGAATACTGCACAGACTGTAAAATCAATTATTTACTTTTTCTGTTTAAAAGAAATCCTTAGTGCATTTGTAAAACTTGCTAAATTATTGTTTAACTGTATTTTTTGCATAATTAATAAATATTATATAAGGAGATATGTTACATAAAAGTTTGTATCACAAATTAACATAGCATTTACTGGAGATCATGAGAAAAGATGTATAGTGTATCTTCACAGTAATAAATGAATGAATAGACATATGAATACCATCAGTAGTATGTGTTTGATGATACCGACCATGAGGTTACATCGCAGCCCAGAATAAACATTACATTTGGATGATCAGTTGCATAATATTATCGGGTCCTAATGTACTGGTAAAGCATTTCACTTATAGTGCATATACAGACGTCTTTAAGGCCCAAAGCTACAGATAATGGAGCCTTTTCCGTCACAGAGGACCTGAGCAGATATCAAAATGTCAAACTTCAAATGTTGGTTCAGGAAAAAAAAAAAAGAATTGCATGTATTTCATAAAGAACACATTACAACAGTTGCGCCCAATGACGTTCGTAGCAAGATGCAGTTCTTCAACATTTCAACAATAGTAGTCTTTAAAATTCCCAGGAGACTTTCCCCTCAAGCAAATCCTTGTCACAGAACACCACCCACTACAGTGTTTTTCATTGATCTAGTTAGGTCCATGTTGTTGTTTTCAGCGTTGCTCCTGAGGCCGAGTGGGTTTGTAAGTCCAGAGGACTTCATTTCAGCTCAGTTAATTTCAGCTCAATATCTTTCACAGGAGCTCAGAGCCATTTAGTTTGGTTTATTGGTGTAAAACAAACGTTTTTCTCTGTCAGTATGGCAGACTGCATGACAGACAGACAAGTAGAGCCCTGGAGATGCAGAGGCTCGTGGCATGGAAGTGGGAAAGTCTGTAAAATTCTGACCAAAGCTCTGGTGTAGAAACACATTCTCGTTGTCTGCACATTTCCAATTTGTGTTTTCCTGGCTCATCGGGACCAACATATACACACGAGGGACAAAAAGAGCATGTCGATGAAGAAGTTTTCCATTTGATTTTCTGAGGGAAGAAAGGGACCACAAGTAACATTTATTCCCAGTTTGGGTGCCTGCTGACAGTGGACGGATAATGGTCACATTTCCTCTCCTTCCAAGCCGCTATCAAAGGCCATCCAGAACCAATTTTTGCAGCCTTTGTTTACAATGTGTCCCTCTCTATAAAGTCAATAAGCATATCTCCAGTGAAGTTCCCCTGGGGGGGGGCACAGTGGATATGTTGTCTCCTTGTTGAGGGCGTCCAGTTCATACACAGGTCCCTTGGTGGTGGACAGTGTGTTTGCGGTGCTTAAGACCCAGGCCTCTGTCTTTGAAGTCCATCACTCGCTGTTGTGATGTGTCTACCAGCGCACTGGCTATAGCAATACCTAGGAGCCCAGAGACAAAGAGAGTTAACAGAGAAATTACATGCTGTTTTAGATCTATTTTCATTGCAAGTGCTGCATTTAATTGAAACATTAGGTGGCCTGCTGAGGTGGAGTCATGGCCACTCGGTCAATATGTCATTCAGAATTTTCCTAAATTCCTCTTCCTCCACCACCACCACCACAGAGAGTTGTGCAAGGTTCTATTGGGAGCTCCTCTATGTACACACTCTATATTTAACAGCAGGTTCAGGCCAGGACAGGAGTGGCGTAAAGTTTGTAATGAGTTAATTTCTAAGTTATACGTCATCCATCTTTTTTTTTTTTAAGTTATTCTTTTTTGGCCTTTTATTGCCTTTATTGATAGTGACAGCCAAAGATAGACAGAAAAGGGGGGGATAGAGACAGAGGGGATGACACGCAGCAAAGGGCTGCAGGTCGGATTCGAACCTGGGCCACTGCAGCAACTCTGTACATGGGTTGCCAGCTCTACCGACTGAGCTTCCATCAGTGGAACAATGAGATGTTACACTATGTTGAAATAACCAAATGCTCAGTGTCCTTGCTGGTTGTTCCAACACATTTAGATTCATTACCAACTTTTACCATGAGACATTTTACTGTGATATGATGGCATTTTTGTAAAAAACTAAACCTAAAAGCTGAGCTGCAGAAAAGTAATTTCACATGGCATGCTCTAAAAAGAGACCACAGTGATTATTAAAAGAAGTAATGTGTTTCTCCCTATAATTGTCTTGCTGCTGTTGTTTTTAGAAAATATAAGTTTGGAAAGTGACTCACTTGAGTTTAATCAACTGAGAACTATCAAAGATGTTACATTTAAAGTATATTTGGATTCCCATTTATTCCTTTTGTGTGTGTAAAGCACTTTGTAAAATGTATTTAAAAGAGTGCCACTTAAATACAGTTATTATTGAGCTATTTGGGACCACAGTAAAGAATAGACTGAAATAAAGAAGAGAGGGTGAACTGTGAATTTAAAGTAAAAGCATGTGTGGGGAAAAAGAATAAACAGTGTGATGAACATCAAACGAAACGCCTCGGCCAATGTGTGACAGGTGGAGATGCACTGTCCTACCAGCAGACATCTCACCACAGCATCCAGAAACTGTTTTATCAACGTCTCTCCAGCCAGTGTTGTCTGGCAGAAGACAAAGAGGCTAATGCTAAGGTCACTGAAGCATATCTCCCTCCATTCTGTCTCCCTCTCAACGTCCAGCAGAATCCAGTCATACCTCTCTTAAAACAACTTCTGTATCTGATGCTTGACTTGCTCTCCACAGCAGGGCACACAGAGAGCAGGCCGGATGCACCAAGGCGTCAGATGCCTTGGAGCATTGTGTTACCTTGGCAGTAGCCGCTGTTGTTAATGTGGATTTAGAGTCGTGGCAGCTCTTGCGAGTGCAGCTAGTCCTGCCTTTCCCTCCCGACAACCGTGGGCTTGACAATGCATGGTCATTATGACAAGAGCTCAATCTGCCGGTATGCAGGAGCCAAATAAACAAAACAGGCAAACAGTGGAAGGAATCTGCTGCGCTCTTGATATGATTTGGATGCAGGATGTTTTCAGCATTTCACACTCAAGTGATTCTCGGGATTTTTTTTTTTTAGTGGGTGGAAAGGGGAAAGCCGATTACACAGTCGCTGAGTGTGTCTGTGCGTGTACGTGACTGCAGGTTTATGTGTGTAACTGGGTAACTGCTGTAGGTGTGTGTATGCACCTGTGCGCATACATATTTTGCAAAGTTCTGACACAGCAAGCCGTACAGACAGATATGGCAGCCAACAGTTTTGTGCTCTCTTCATCCAAAACGATGGAAGGAAGGTGATTTGCTAGCAGCACCTGGTGTGTTGGAATATGGTTCATTATGGCTGTTTGTTTCACTCTGGCAGTGGTTCTGTTGGTGGGTTTGTTTTGGCTACCACAGACAATACTTAGATTTGGCTTTTGTTGCTATTGTAATTTGTGACTTAGTCAAAATTAGTGCTTGTTTGCATATCCTCTGTATATTTCAGGAGTAAACACCTCCATAAGACTTCTATGCAGTGCCATTGAGGATAGTGAGGTCATGTCCTTGTTGTTTTTTCTTTGAGATTGCTTTGGATTTTAGCAACCTAGTAAGCAGTTTACATGTAACTGACTAAATAGGGTGTTTTATTGGCTTTTGATTGATAGTGACAGGAAAGGGAGGGAGGAGAGAGGGGATAACACGCAGCGAAGGGCGATAGGTTGGAGTAGAACCCATGGTGCTGCAGCAAGGACTCAACCTTGGTACATGGGGATCCCCATCATTTTTTAATGTGTGTTGGAAAATGCATGGGACATAATCAACTTTTTTGCTCAAAATCTAAAAAGCTAGATTTATTTTAACAGCCTAGGCGTTTCAAGACTGATCATATATTTAATTGTTAGATTTATGTGTTTTATTTTCTTACTATTTTTTGTCTACAAATATACACAACATACTTTGGATTTTTAAGTTGCAATGTTTGTAGCTTTATGACCGAATTAAACTAAGCCAGAACAAAAATAAAACACACAGTAGGCACAAAAACCCATCTTATTTTCTCCATGGGCAGGTGACAACAAAACTTTATCCGTTGTAATAATCAAAACCATGTTTCAAACATACACACAAAAAAATATGGGTGGTTGTGATTAAATCTCCCTCAGTCACAAAAGGGAAAAGGTTTAGCAAATGATTGACAGATCACAAAAAGAAAAAAGACAAGGTATAGATCAAAGAAAGAAATGAAATTTCAGACATTATCTAACTGAATCTGCTCTGATCAGACAGACAGCTGTCTGTAACTTGGTTCCTTCTCTGGGGAACACTTGAGGCCAAGACAAATGCAACAGGAATACCACCAGTTATTTCACATCACCAAAATCACCTCTGCAAGACGTCAAACTATCTGTCTGTCTGAAACGCTGTCTGCGAGATGTGATACAGCAGTTCCCATACCACAGCCAGTTCTAATGAAAGAGAACACAAAGACCAGAAAAGTTCAAGTACAGAAAGATACTAATTAATTTCTAATGTGACATCCGAATATTCTTCCATCAAAATTACTTTCACCTTTGACAAATTGCCATCATAATTGTGTTGATTTTTCCGGGTGAACACACATCTCCATTTGCAAAATTAAATTGGTCAAAAGTAATCAAATTATGCTGCAGGTGAGTGCAAGTGCTCATTTGCTGCCGTGGCGACCGGGCGCGTTAATGTGATTGTTTTGTCAGGTGAGTTGACGCATCATTAACCCCCCCCCACCCCCCCTCACACACCCATCCTTCCCCCCTCCTGATAGACTAATGGGGTCATTAGCAAGAGACAAAATTCCCCAGGAACACATATCGGCACAATTCTGATGTGGAAAACTGGGACTACAGCTGGAAAACATCTGTGACGGGAGGAGCCCTCATGCTAACCCAGTGACAAACCCCACAACCAGGCCCTCCTCTCCCTCTGAACATCAAAGGCTGGCTTCTGAGTTTGTGCTCGCCCTCAGTGAAGACACCGAGGATGGTATCCTGCTTAAGATCCAGTATAATAGTAAACAGAAAATACCACAGCAACGTCTGCTCCATGAAGCAAAGGGAAATCAAAGTCAGTCAAACAGTAACACATTGATATTCAAATATTTATGCGTCTGCAAGGCTCTGATTTCAGGTTTTAAAAGACCAGAAAACATGACACACAACTAGGCCTGCTTTGATGTATGCATGTAAGATGCAGGTTTGATCTTGCCTAACTAGGATGCCTTTCATTAATAGTACATGGCAGTGTTCGGTAAAGCCTTTCTTTATGTTTATTTGTTTGAAGAATGCAGGACAAAAAATATCTCCAAATTACCTGAAATACATATCTAAATATCTCTAAAATATATTTGAGCAAAGAGAACAGCAAAAAGGCAGAGGGACATCTCCAAAAAGTCAAAGCACAAACTCTGTAGTTGTAAAAATAAATAACTAAATAAAAACTTTAAGCAGTTACATGATTAAGAGAAGACGGCTGCACATCTACATCACAGTGTTCCTCATCTGGGTCCTGACCTCGTATTCACTTTTCTTTTGCCTCACTTGATCCTTATGTATGTTTAAAACTGGCCCATCAACATTTTAATAGCAGTTATGCTTTATTTAATGGCAGGTATTCATTTTGAATTAAAACGCCACAGCAAAGGGAAAGCGGCAAAAAACAAGGCAGGTAAACTTGATATGATCCAACCTTCATGTCCACATAATAAATACATGAGCTAGCTGACAGTAAATGCCACTGAGTATGTGACTAAAAGTCAACAAGCAGACAGATGAAGGAGGAGAGTCCATCCCAGTGGGGTGGACAGTTTCAAAGACGGTGAGGATCAAAGTATCGGGGATCCATTCCGGGTCAATGGAGCTGAGTTTCTGAGTGCTGCCCTCCGATTCCTGTCAAGCAGCTATCCAGTCAGAGACGCAGGGGGAGACAGTGGGAGGCAGGGAGGAAGGTGTGAGGAGGTCGCCACAGAGAGTGAAAGAAAAGGACACCGGTGCTGCAGCAATGCTTACAGGCCAGTAGTCACAGTCTGAGAGAGAGGCTAGGGAATAGGAATACCTAACTCATAGAAAGTTAAACATGACATTTTGGGAAATGGGAGGTGTGCCCAGCAGCAATGCTAACTGCTCCTAAAACTAAAATGCCTAATTCTTTTGTTCCTACATGTTGAGTAAAAAAAGATAATGGAATACATGTCCATACAGTTTTTCATTTGCTGGAAGTCATATTTTTGCAGTTTAGAAAAAAAGAAAAGAATTATAAAGCCAAAAGGTTGGTTATAAAGTGATGGGTTGATTAACTGTACACAGACAATGTCTAAGACTGTGTTCGGGGCCCACATTATGGGTCCAATTTGAAGGTGTGGTGGAAAACTTTAAAAATATACATAGTAGTCCCAGATCTCAGCATGTGGTTCACTTCTGTGCAGAAAAGTAACTGTAA